AAACAATAGAGTGACGATGACATATTGTCCTACAAGGCTGTCATGTTCATAATTGGGAAGCAAGGTAAAGCCTATATACCTAGTCTTCTGAATTGGCCACAATACACTAAACAGATTCTTGGTTAAACACTTTACTGAAAATGCATTCGTCAAGTCAGGCACTTTACGCATTAATACTTACAACAAAAATTGAACATGAGCTCAAAGGATAATATGATCACTCATATTAGATGAGGATCCTGCATACACAACACAATATGTGACAAACTGTATCTGTCATAGTGGAGCTGTGTTTACTGGTCTTTGTATATAGGATACTTGGTACACATCCACTCACCAGTCCACCATCCCACTTAGTGCGGATAGTCTCGAGGACGGTGGTCTGCCACACCTGCCCTGGAGGCAGGGGATGGACTGTGTAACAGACACAATCACGAAAAACATTCTCAGGATCTCGCCGCTGGACGATGGAGTTATCACTTGAAAACACAGCGTTCTTTCCACACTTATTTCTATTGAGTGGAGCAGCAGTGGCATCGGACATCTCGAGAGAGGCGTGTGGTGAGATGTGTAGCGAAGAGGAGGGGGCTTGCTCGGAGTGATGTGCGCTAATTGGAAACTCGCAGAAACTGACACCAGATTATATGCCGACTGCGTACGAGTCTAACTGATGGATCGTAGGTTGTGCAAAAACTTTTGACAACTTGTAGTTCATCATTAGTGTTGTAGATTCATTTTTGCATAAAAAGTCAGAAAGGAATAGCTACCATGTGAAGTATCTATCATGGCCACAGTGTACATGCAGTATTTTGAATTCGGGTTTTGGCTGGTACTGGCAAAGCCTTGTGGAGATTAGTTCAGAACCACAAGCGCTGCGCCTGAGCAAAGCCTTGTGGGGATGAATCTCATTAGTTCAAAACCACAAGTGCTGCGCTCAACTTAGCCTTTATAAACTCGTGGTGCCAGAGAGAGAAGTTGTGGTATGCTCTGCTGATGAGGGCCAACAAGCCCGAAACAGCTGTCCAGAGCTCCGCATCTTTTTTCTCTTGGCATCACATGGTGTATTTTTCATGCGTGCATACTGTCTGAAGGGACCACAAATGTCTTCAGTATGTGTTAATTATCATCGATTGATATCATGTGTAATTACAACAGTAAATGAGCAGTAGGCTTCTTCCCAGACCACGCCTCTTTTGCATATTTCTTCTTCTTCGGTTCCGAGTCCGACAAATAGCGTCCCACGTCCTGGTTGCCATAGAGACCTCCTCCACTGAATCCCACCAGTGGAGGAGGCTGCCGTGACCATGGACTTTGAACCGGTGGAGCTGCAAGAGAGAGAAATTATTTTGCGTTTTTTGTCGTTATTATAATGTAGCCAAGTAAATTTATAACCGCCACATTCCACTTTTACTATAAACACCGTAATATGAACAGCCTTTTGCACAGTGAACAGTGGATACCACAGAAAAGTGGAAACCACTTTTTACAGCTTTGTATTGCTCCTACATGTTTTCATCTCCGGTTCCTTTGTGCTTTTTGTTCCACTACTGAATTCTTCCGTAGTGTCTGTGTACTGAGTTATACACTACTGCAGACACATACACATACCAGCAGTGATTAACCCTCGGCACGCATGCGCAGCGAGGGTTACGGTAGTTGTCCCGTAAGTGTGCCTGTCAGTCTGTCATTCTGTCTGTTACCACGTTTTTTTGCCACTGCGCGCACGGAATCAGGTAAATAGCGATATGATCGGGTTCAGTGCTACACTGGGTTGATTTAAAAAAAGGCTATTTTTGTAAAATTACTGCGTTCTAAAGTTATGGCGTGAAAACCAAGTGAACAAGCCAATATGGTAATTAGCACAGGCTTACCTCGAATACGTCCGCGCGCTCTGCGTATCTTGAAGGCACAAGAAGTCGCAACGAAGGGCATGTATCGACTCCCGCATGCAATCTACTACTGTAGCTAGCCCGTGCCAGACTCTCCGCGAGCTACCAGCGCGATACAACGAGTAAAGAAAAGAAAAGCCCAGCCCATCAATTAGTGGTACCGCGCATGCGCAGTTCGCCGAGGGTTTGCACTTTAGTGCTTTTCATTGTTTTAGTGATGAGAGAGGAGAGAACCCAAGAGTAGGAGACGTGACTTGAGACGCCGAGGGAAGACGGGGTGAGGGAGGAGGAAGAGGGAGGAATGTGCTCCGTGGAGGAGGGAGGGAGGGAGGGGAGGGGAGGGAAACGGAGGGAGGGAGGGATGGTGGTCTGGACCATGTTACGGAACTTGCCAACAGTTTGGTGTATGTCCTCTGGACACACAGAGAGAGAAAAATAGAGTCACATTCAATCAAGTTTAAGCAACACATGGTGTACAATTGCACAATCATGTCCTTAGGTGTCCCTCTTGCCTCCCTTCCTTTTAAGACCCTCCTATATTCCCCCTTACATCACACAAGTGAGAGAGTTTGCTTGTCTCCTCACCACCCCGTCCTTAAACTAGGGAGCTGTCACTGCCACCAGTTCCAAGAACACGTAACAGTTGGTCTAGCATGTACTGATAATAAATACCAATAAACATACATATACACACATATACACTGGATGTCTAATCTCCATTCATGGTCGAGAGCAGGTGACAGCGTTAGGTCCTGTACTTCTCTTCAGGAGGTGCTCATGTCTCCATGCTCCACCGATACCCAGCCCATTGCTATCTACCACCAACACCCCAGTGTGTTGTGGGCTGTGTTGTCCTGAGTAGGGGTCCGCGCAGAGGAGAGAGAGAGAGAACTGAGCGCCGTGCAACGAGAACCGGGAGAATTACAACGAAAGGTGAGGGATGAATTGCACACAGCTACATTGCCGGGACAATGTGCAACTTGTCCAACCCCGTTTAATCATTCACATGACATTCGAGAGAAAGATGTTCCTCACTAAACAAACTGTGTCTTATAAATTGAGTATATTCCACCCCAGAGGGCAACAATTGCCACATCCATATCCAGCTAGTATGCACCGATCCGAAATGTGTTTGAATTTTCTTAGACACAAGTGACAGTCACGCAAGTCACATCAGTGTCACGAGTTTCAGGCAGACCAGAGAAGGTGCCTCCTCCCCTTCCTCTCCTCTTCACCTTTTTCCACGCTCATTGTTTGGGGCTCTTTCCCAGCACGTGTAACTTACAATGAGCGAGGTGAAGAGGACAGACGTGTGTATCTTTACTCATATAGCTACACACACCAGCTTAAAGGGAATATGACAGTAAAAATGTAAAACATGAACATATAATCGTATATGTTTTTGTTCAAACATTCTATTATTTAACCATTAAGATCAGGCCACAATTCCTTACATAGTGTACTATAAAACTAGAAAAGTTACACACACTTTTGGCAGATAATAACGCACAAATAAAACAACACCAGATTTTAATACTCTGTATATAGTCTTGTCGCGTGTCCAGACTCTCTGCGAGCTATATACTACAAGCAGGAGACCACGAGTAAACGCATATTAATAGCCCAGCCCATCAATTAGCGGTACAGCGCTTGCGCAGTTCGCCAAGGGTTTCCACTTTAGCGCCTCTAACATATCTTTGATGATGTATAGGTGTGCAAGCACTGGCTAATGATTATGGTAGAAGTATGCACACTTAGCCTCCTCCTGGAATTATTGTAAGTGAGTGGTGTGGCTTTTGATGTGAGCGCATGCCAGATCAGACACATCAGAGTCAGAAGGAAATGTGATATACATGTGCTGCCTGCTAACAATACATAGGAGAGAAATACAGAAAGAGGTGTTGAAATCCCATGCTAATGCAGCGACATAACCAGCTAAGACAAAAAGAAGTAATGAAATCGCTGCCAAGGATCAGAATGGCTGAAATTTATCACCAGTTTCCCCAAACAGCCTTGCCCTGCAAAACATACAGAGGTGCTAGGCATAGAACATACACATTGACAGATCCCCTTTAGTGTTAGTATACATGAGTGCCCAATTATAGGCATGTGCTATGCACTATCTAAAGCCACACACTTACCGAGTGAAATTTGTGATTGTGAAGTAGTCTCACTGGATGTAATTCTATCATCATCTGAAGAAAATTGTCAGATGCACAGAAGCGGTACGTATATACACATGTACCATTTTGGTTTGGGTGTGATTCCTTCCCATTAACATTTCTTCTCTTTCTCACATCACCTACGACACATAATGATACCATTTCCTAATGCATTATGTGTAATATACAGCTATTAATAGGCTATTTGAACGCAGTATTCCATCTTCCTGGTGTGCTTCAAGCTTGGTTTACTAAAGGTGGATCATAAAATAGTCTATACCCACGTTAGGTTTGTAGAAGAATTGGGTGAACTAATTGGTGTCATAACGTGACCCCTCGCCTGGACTAAACCAAAATGCTCAGAAGTGCTTGTCTTTGTTAGGGTGTGTTAGCAGCACTACCTGGGCGGCCATTGATTATAGCACCTAACACTTGATGCTTCTTAGTGTGTTGTGACCCAAAAGTTTTGACCAGTCCAGGCACATAGGGGAAAGACCGCAGACAGTTTGAACTTAATTGGGGAATAAGGAAGTGTGCTACATATTATGATACACTTTTCTTTTACTCCAGGCAACAAATGATTAGTGAACCAAGGAACAACCACCCACTAAAACTTGTATAAAGTTCCCAAGGCAAAAGCCATAGAATTCAGTCTTCTTTGTCCAATCCCATGCATTTACACGTGTGCGACAACACGTATTGTCATCGATCCCAGCACAACTACGCCTCTACCACAGGGGAGCTCGCAGGAGGCAGCCTCTTGCTCCAGAAACAGCCAAGGAGCACGAGACATAGCTCGCAGGCGGCAGCGTCTAGCAGCTGAGGACTGGAAACCACACCCTTCTCGCTGGCATCGCACGCACGAGAGGCACACCTCCAGCAGCGGAGGATGACAAACTATACTCCTCCCTGTGATCACCAGTGGCTGTATATCTGTAGTTGGATCGCTCCCGCTCGCCAAAAATGTCATCTAATAATTACATCAGCTCAGAACTCACCAGGAGTGTTGGTAGTAGTGGTGGCAGTGGTAGAGGAGGCAGAGCTGTGGAGACAGAGAGGGGAGGCTGGGAGGTGGGGGGAACTGCAGAAGATGAAGAGGAGAGAGAGGGCGTGGCTGACTCAGCAGCTGTAGGGGAAAAAAGAAAGAAAAGCATAACGAGACTGTTGGGTGGACTAGATTCCATGGAAACAAGGAGTTGTCCTAGGCTAGGTGTAGTTGATTTGTTTGCCTTTCGTTTTGCTTCGACCTCGTCGTTGACACACACATCACGTGGAGGTAGGGAAGACTATTTCTAAAAGAGGCTCACCAGGAGTGGTGCTAGCAGCGGAGGGGAGAGGAATAGCAGCTGTGGCAGTAGTGGAGGAGGTGGAGGAACACTCGATGACTGAGTATATAGAGAGAGACAGTAGAAGGCAAAAACAAACAGTCAGCAATGCTCTCGAAGAGGGGACTCACCAGGAATGGAGGAGACAGGATGAGGAGCTGTGGACACTGTAGCAGGAGAGGTAGAGAGAACTGTAGAGAGTAGAGTGTATAATGAACAAAGGGTCTGCTTTGTGTCCATACAAGTATGGGGAAGAGGACTCACCAGGAGTGTTGGTAGTGGTAGTGGAGGCAGGTGGTGGGGATAAGGAGAGATAAGGAACAGAGGCAGTAGTGGAGGAGACTGTGGAACACTCTGACACTGTAGAGGAACATGAATGAAAGAATGAGTATCAAAATAGGGCACATAGAGATGCAAGGACTCACCAGTAGTAGTGGTGGCAGTGGTAGAGGAGGCAAGAGCTGTGAAGACAGAGAGGGGAGTCTGGGAGGTGGGGGGAACTGCAGAAGATGATGAGGAGAGAGAGTATGCCACATTCCTCATTTATGACTTTTTTTATGTGCACATATTTAGTGGCATGGAATTGAGTAAACTGTTTCACAAAATTTGCCTATGTATGAAAGTGTATGTTTATAGCATACTAGCCATAAAAAGATAAACCAGAAGTCACCCTCCAGCACCCACCATAGCACACTTGCACATAAAAAGGCAGGGCACCAGGTGCCAGCCTTGAGAACTGGGGTGGTGGTTTAAATTATGTTATGATTAACAGGTGAACATGTATCTAAAGTGAGCACACTCAACCACTTATTACCTATATACAATGAAAATTGATCAATGGCATACTATGTATTGAGTAACCAACAACAAATATCGTGACTCAAAACTTAGTCTTATATGAAGTAACAAGGTTGATCACTATGCACTTAATTGCTATATACACTGTCAGAAGCTAAATTGATCACTAGCATGGTGAAATAGTCATACCTATGGACAAGAATTTGTTAGTTTCTTCAACTCCTGCGAACAAGACTTTCTGTACTAAACATTGGCGGGCTGAAATCTCTTCTAATTGGATTGCAAAGAAGGGAATTGATTTTCCTGGCTTGTATTCCTTTAAATATCTCTTTTCAAGCTGAATGAAAGAAAATTAATTAGAAAACACTGAAAAGAAAAGTAATGGAATTTACCGATGGAGATGTTAACGGGGTGAGTTTCCAACCATCTTTCTCCCAAGGGCTCTCAGGGATGCCAATATCGGGGATGTAGAGTGAAATTGTTTTTTCTTTAGGGCAGGCTTGTATTACAAGACCCTTTTTACTCCGTCTTTCTCTATACACCTTGTTCACTTCCTAAAACAAAATAATTATTTACTGTACAGGAATATTGCACACAAACACAATTCAAAGAGTGCTACACATTGTACTCTATATTGCATAAACCATGGTATACCTCAAGATAATCTTTCAGATTTGGAGTAACAGTGATGTGGACTTCATGTGTTTTGGGGTTTTCAATGGGTAGGTAAAATGTGCAGAAAGTATACGACTTTTCCTCTTCCAATCAGCCCAAACGGTGAGAAATGGTCAACATCAATGGCTCCAAGCCCTGATTCTGAGAAGGACCCTCCTGGTAGTGGGAGGAAGGTGTAAGGTGGGTTGTCTTGTGTGGACGTAATGAAGGTGAGTGTGGAGTCGTCATCCAAGGCACAGTGCTGGAGAGCGAGGGTGACTTTCTTGTGAAATGTCTCCACGGGAGGATCGAGCGAGAGCCGGAAGACTTCACTGACAAGGACTCTGTCGTCTGGGAGCTTGTATTCTCCACTCAGACCAGCCCGGATATGTATCACCACTGGAAAGTGTAAGAATAGTTTCTGCAATAATGACACGCTTCTGGACCTTAATAGCTTATACTTGTGGAGTGTTATATTGGCAATCAAAGAATTGATATTCTTACCCCTAGTCACTGGCCTTGTTGTAGCAAAGGCACCAGCTGGGATTTGAACATTGAACCCATGACCCTCCCAGTGATAGTCCTGTGGCTGGTCAGGAGAGATCTCTATCTTCGTCTGCTCAGTTATATGTACGCCTCTAATATCAGGGGATTTCCCTGAAACATAATAGCAAACCATAACTCATGGGCCACCCATGTTTTATCCCATCAAAAACACAGTTTGCCTTATTAACACTAATGTTCACTTGGTTCTAACGCCATAGCTTTACTTTCAAATCGAGCCAAGGTAGCAATGAAAAAACATGCATGTCAGTAGAAACAAAATGGCTGACCTGGTAACGAAGATGCACTCTAACTTTTTAGGAGAGAAACTTTTTGATTTCCTTATCATACGTAATAAGCTGTGTCCCTTGTTGCACATGTCATTGTTAAGTGAGTTACAGATCCCCTTTAGTGGTAGTATACATGAGTGCCCAATTATAGGCATGTGCTATGCACTATGTAAAGCCACACACTTACTGAGTGCAATTTGTGATTGTGAAGTAGTCTCACTGGATGTAATTCTATCATCATCTGAAGGAAAATTGTCAGAATAAATAATTATTGCACAGAAGCGGTACATACTTATGTACCATTTTGGTTTGGGTGTGATTCCTGCTCTTTTAAACTTTGTCTCTTTGTCACGTCACCTCCTTGTCCTATGACGTATAATGATACCATTTCTTAATGTATTATGTTATACGTACAAGCATAGGCTATTACCAGTTACAGCTTCTTGTGTGCTTCTGCCTTTGTTTCCTAAAGGTGGTACATAAAAAATATCTATACCCACACTGCAATTTGAAATGGTGCAATTTGTGTCATAATGTGATGGTAGGTCTGGACTTCCTTCCTGTAGTGCCACTGTATGTAACTATGTGAGAGGTAGGCTAGATGGATTATGTATTAGTAGTTGTTGCCAGGGCCCAGAGTGCCACATGGGATAGCTACGTTGGCACAGTTGTGTTGTAATGTGCGAGGGCCAATGCCGGACGGTTTACGTTACAACATGTGGTCACGAGGGAAAGCCCTAGCAAACAACTAATTTTGTTGCCATTTACTAAAGTCTGCGTTCACCTTCCACCCGGGAAATCCGCCGTAACTCCGCTATACTAAGGTCAAAACCGGATATTCAAAGCGCAACGTGCTCGTGAGCGTGCGTAGGTTCGTAGATGCAGGC